AGAAAATAAACAGCCAAGCTCTGAACATTAATATTTATATTCCTCTCAGCTATACAGACACTTCATTCTAGCAAGGGATGGTAAAACCACTTCTGCAAGGACTAAAGTTTAATATAGCCTTAAGTGAAGTGCACATTTCTGATTGTCAGGATAGATAATATCTGAGTAACACAATAAGGCTGACTCAGAGGGCTGGATACTGCTTCAAATGTCAGACTTGGCAAGCAGAGAGGAAGGAAACCAAGGAAAAATGCCTCAAGCATAATTATTTTCTATCCTACAAATAATCAAGTTACTTTACCAAACATATGCCAATACTTGCCAGGATCCAAGGGCATAGAGATTAACCTCAACTCAATTAAAACTGGGACTTCTCTGAAAATCCATCATCTTTCAAGATCACAGAACACAAGAGAGAAAGAGAGCATAAAGTAAGCCGTCAGCTCTCAAGATCTACGATCCTAGTGCTGTTGCACTTTTGTGACACCATAACTGATGGCACAAACTTTGCATGTTCCACCTATACATTGCCAATCCCATCACTCTTAGCAGCACACTAAACTAAAAGAACTCCCCCCAAGATACTTCATAACTAGATTTTGCTTCCTGAAATTCAGTTCTGCCTTTCACTATATTCAATAGTTATATTTATTAACTTTTTCTTCTAGTAGGTCCCAAGCATGGTATTCTAACACTTTTTTTTCCCATGAAAGAAAAAAAGAAGAGAGCTTGAAATAGCAAAACCAAGTAACTTTGGTGCTGGCTGTACCATGTTCCCTGGTGTATCAAGAAATGCTACAATTAAATTCAACTAATTAGATTTTTTTAATCCCGTAAAAAGATAACATATTCCATTCAAAATGAAAGCCAAGAGATTCTTCTGGGTCTCATAACATTAAAACAAGTTCCTATTCTGTCAGCTAAGCATTCCACAGAAGTCGTTGGAGGGGGTTGTTAAAAAAGTTTTTAAAAAAAGTTGAACTAGCAGAACATCAAGTCCTGAAGAAGTAATAACTCTGATTCTCTGCATCCAGTTTCTCTCTTCCGGAAAGCAACATTCTATAAATTTTCACGCCTATTAATTTGCAATCAGAAATGTTAAATCAAGAATTGCATTTAACAGTAAGGGAGAAAGATCTGCTTTATAAGGAACTTTTCACTGCACAACAACCTTATCTGATGGAGGAAAATATTTGGCCTGCAAGAACCATGGGCCCTGTATCTTGTCACATCAATATCTAGTTATTATTCCTCCTGTCCAAAAGGCAAAACTCAGAATGCGCACAGGGGAAAGGGCTCTGCTGGGATTTACAGCCCATTTAATTTCCACTAAGACCCTGGTTCTCTAATTAGGTAACCCAAATAAAAACAGCCTCAAAAATACTTAAAATATAGACTTCATGTTTCTTATGTAAGTGGTACTGAAAGAATGGTTATATGCAGGCATCACAATGGCTATTAAAAACTAAGTATAAATGCTATCATTGCTGATGAAGAACAGGAAACGTCACGTTTCATGAATGCATTCACATTTTCATACAGTATTCCATGCCTTTTTCCTAACAGACTGTAAACTGTAAGAGAAGCACTTTAATCTAGACCATGCATTTAAAGTAGACAGAAAATCAGAAGAGTCATTATTTAGAAGTTTACTAAAATCTGCTTCCATTTGAAAGACTTCCAAATTAGACAAAGAGACAAGATCACGTAACTGAAGGTTTTCAGAACTTTTTTCCTGCACTTTTTCATTACAAGAGAGGCTTTTTTCTGCCACCCACCCCCCCTTAACCTTGTTTCCTCTTTTAGCTTTAGTTCTGAAATAGTAACAACAATCTTTCGGTCAAAGTCTGAAGTTTAAGAGACAACCTAAATCTAAAGGCCTACACACAGCACAGCTGTTAGCCGATGTTGGGAGCTATCTTTTGTCCCTATAAACATAAGCCACAAATGCTATGTCTGCCAATTTCACTGCTGACAGTGGGAAGGAAAACAAGAACAAGGCCATTCGGGTAGTCTTCACTGATAGTTGACCAGCTGTTGGCCATCAACTAAAATCTTTTATTGCTCATGATTCATCCTCCTACTGTACCAGAAATGCAGGAACTTTCCAACAGAATCACAGGGCTCAATGTTTCACGTCCATCGTGTTTCTTTCAGAAGACTTAGCAGCAATCAATGCCCAGAGTAAACTATTCACACAGACTTGTACAGGATCAGTTGAAAACAGCAGTAACACAGTTGACTTACAAACAGAGTTAAGTGTATAAAGAAAAGAATCTGGAAAAGACTGTATCAAAATCTTTTCCTCGTGCTCCATACAGAATGCAGAATTATTTCTGTATTGCCCAAAAGTTGATCTGAATCCAGAACAACTTACTGACAGGAAACAAATAAATAAATAACTAAAACACCCCAAACACATGAACTGTAGTCTACATAGAGATAAAACACCTTTATATCTTTATATTAAGAGTTGAATTAAATGTTTTAGATCTATTTCATCCAAACTAACATCCCCACATTTATGGTTTATAAATGTTTCTCCTCAGCTTCCCAGTGCACATCAACATTGCACAGTTTCAACAGTGAAACTCCACTAGCTATTTCATTTCCTCATTTTCCTACCTTTGCACAACATAATATACAAACAACCAACTTAATACATTTTAACATAAAAAGTTTCTTTCTTATCTATGTCAAAACCCATTTCCCCTCCAAATCATGTAGGTTTGAGCCAAACACAAGAGACACTTGTCCCTATTCTTGAAACTCCACATTTCTGAAAAGAACAAGTGTTCCCAAAATGAAGTATGAATAAGAGGATGGATTTGAAGGAACATTTTACATGCCATGAAAGAAAACCTGTAAAGATACATTTCAAATGTACCTGAGCTCCATTCCCTGTACCACTGTATTTATTAGCAACTACACATCGATACAAATAAATTCACCTGCAACCTCACGAATTAAAGCAGATATTAATCCTAATTCTCAAAATAAGTTTTTCAGTTTTAGTGGATATAATATAAAGGAAATAGCAAGGCCACAATTCATTTTCTGAGCATTGTTAAAAACTGTAATAATCTGCTGACTTGTGAAAAAAATATTGCTTTGAAAAAGCCCCAGGAGCTTCTTCCCAAGCAGCACATTGTCAGCAGATGGCCAGCATCAACTCTGCAGTTACCAGTCTGGCCTGGCAGCCTCACAGATGACAATGACACTCTTTTCTTTTTGTGGATGTGGGGAGGGGGCAGCTTGAGAGATACAGACAACTAGGTATCATAGGCAACAACCCCTTCCACTAAAAACATATGTATGTATACAATCTATTTCCAAGCCTGTCACATGCTTCTTCCATTAATTTTCATTTCGGTTAGGTTTCCCTCCTTTATTTGTAACACTGAAAAAACTTTAAGTAGTAGAAAAGACAAACAAGGTGGCAGGAAATGGATAACATAAAAGATACAGTAGAACTGACCACTGTCAAGCATTGCCAGAGACAAACTTCACGAACTACCTGTTGTGGCAACTTTCCCCCCCTTTGTTTCACTCTCCCCTCAACACAGTCTTCCCCCCCCGGCCCTGAACAGATATTCTCTCGCCTAAAGAGGTGAACAGAACATCTGATGAGGAGCTGCTGTTTCATTTCCTCTCCTTCATCCCGCCCCTCAAATGGAGAAGCCCTCAAAACAGAGGAGGGGAGGGCATGTTTTTAATCCAAACGCTGCGTCTTAAAATACTATTGTGCAACATTTGGCTGAGAGTGACTGTAAAGCTATATATATATACACATAGCATTAGAGTGCTTTATTCCCCCCTACATCTCCTGGGAGATAAAAAAAAACAACCAATGAGGCTTCTGCATTAATAGCCATTTACTATTTCAGTTTTACACCCAAGAATTTGAATATCTGAGCAAAACCTTTATTTTGCCAAAGCCAATAACTGTTTAGAAATGAAAATAAGCAGAAAGCAAGCTATGAGTTCCTTTCCGACCAACAGATGCAACACAAAGACGGTGGAAAGGATTTTCTCATGAGCAAAGAGCCTGATATACTTAACTGAGGCATTTGGACCTCTCCTCAGGAATGCTCAGTCCCTCACAGAGACTTCTGTCTTACATTGATTCAGCATTCCTTACCTCATTTCTTGTAATTCTTCCTGTTCTTCCTCATTTCAGCTATCCTTTTGAAAAATTTATCACACATAGAAAGATGGTGGAGAAAAGTATATCACAGTCCTGCTGTCGTTATCTGTCTTGAAAATCTTACTGGGAAATAAGGCTATTCAAGAAGAAAACCTCAAGTCTTCTTATGGCCTAATTTCTGTCTCATTCAGGCTTAATTCCAGTTACACATTGAATAGGGAGGGTGCCAATGTAATGGAGATGCTGCCACCTTACAGGCTGCACCCCTCCCTAACAAGATTTTTTGGGTAATCATGACTTAATCCAAACTAATTTTTAACAATCCTTAGATATTGTTATTCTTCTCAAAGACCTTGGACTATGTGTCAAATGCCATGCAATGAAACCTAAATTACTTACCACCAGAAGGCAGAGATGATAACACAACACAACATTTTCCTCCCAGCCCCAATGAGAAGCTTTCTTTGCTGACACACACAACGTGACACACACAATGAATACCAGAAAGTATTGTCCTTTCATAAACTCCCTCAGAAGTTTTTATGCTTTTACCACTTGTTCATCAAGTGCTGTAGTACAGGACATTACTTCCCTGCATAAATCTGACACTTCTTGTTACTGCAATTATCAAGAGATGTAACACAAGTACCAGCTTTGTGGCAGAGATGCAAGTTAACGCACACAACTCAGGCAGAACTAAATTAATCAAACCTCACCGAAACAATTACTTGGTCCAGCAAGGAAAAATAATCCTGCATGCGCTCAGTAGCTTTGATTCTTTTGGGAAACATACCTTCAAAACCTTCTGGATTGTTTTCTCAGAAACAGCCAAAACTTAAGAGTGTCAACTCACCTTCCACACTATCAGAACAGGAGGTACCAATCCCAGTGTCCCCGCTGTCGGAAGCTATACTGTGTCTTCGGACAGGATTGCTTTGACTGCTTGATGAAATCGTTGTGCTCTGCCACAGGGATTCAGTACCAGGTAACCATCCCACTGAGGAATAATCTGAGCCTATAAAAAAAGGAAGCCAGAATTCTGTCATTACAAACACAGTACAGAAGGCAACTAAAAAGTATCTGTCAAGATGAAAACTGAATCCTCCGTTTCATAGTTCAAGTTTGAGTCAGACTGTGCCTACGACTTGGGATATTATTTTTTTAAAATTAAATTCCTTTTGCTAGGTGAAACCTTCCCAGAAGTTCCAATACATATATTTTTACTATTTAAAAACATGGTCCTTATACTATTCTTCCACAAACATTAACAAAACAACTATCACATGACTCCTATCCTAGAACTGATTCTCAATTCACAGCAGATTTTTGCATTGCATGCCTTCAAATACAAAGAGATGAACAAATGTTAGGCCAGAAACCAGCTGAAGATTTGGCCAGTGAGATAGAGTCATTTCCAACTGTGCATAAACCCCATGACCTAGGTGATAAAATAAAGCCAGCAGTGAAATCGTCAACACTGATACCTTAAGTAATTCATTACGGTTCTCTGTTATCAGTAGTTTTCAGTGGTCAAGACAGACTACAAACTGAAGAAGGCACATTGTAGCTGCACACAAGCTGTGTTTGTGAGACATCTATCCATCTTGCAGTTTGCTTCATTTTGGTTATCTTCTTAATTCAAATAATTTTTAAAATATTACATATTAAAACACAACTGAGAGCAGCAAACTGTTCCTCTGCTCAAGGAGTTTTTAAAGTAGGCCACGTATTCTCATAGTCAACCTCAAGAGAATATATATCACAGAGTACAACCCCAGACAACCATTACAATTTCCAATAGCCAATATCTAAATCTGAGAATTGTTTATAGGCAGACTACTGATCACCACACTCACACTCTGAACCAACAGAGTTACATAAAGAACCCTGGAAAAAAGCACGGCTGCACTTCATCTATATATAATCCCATACATACAGCCCCTCTAGCAGTTAGCTCTGTGCAGCACTTTCAGCAGGAAATGACTCATGAAGAAGTATCAGTTCACATACAATGTCTCTTGTGCTACATGCGGTTATTTTTAGGTCATTTAAACATTTTCAGCAGTGTCCATCCAAAGTCATAATGTCAATTTAACTCTGCAATGATATCTGCAGATCATTGCTAATTCCAGCTGTACTCGTTTTCCAGCAAATTAAGTAGTTTGGAAAAGTATATAAAAATGAATATGTGTGTGTGTATATATATATATCCCCACCCCTACGTATATGAATACACACATACTCCCCATATAGCAGCCAGATCACTAGACCTACTAGCCAGAGTGGTAACAGCTGCTTGCCAAGTCAACTGTAAATTGAGGAACACGCTAAATACCTACTTACACAGTCAATTCCTTACTGCATGTGCTATTTAACTGTAAGATGACATCTAAAACAGTCTACTTTCTGTAAGTAGGTTCTTGAAGGTCTTAAATATGCCTGTCTATCTCATTTGCCTCAACTTTGTTCTCCATTGAGGCTACTGCCTCTTCTTCCCTTTAACACATTTTCCTATCTTTTCTCCTGGTATTCAAAATCACTCAGTTCTCCTCCCACATCATTCCACTTTAGTAATATCTTGTGTAATGTATTTCCTTCTCTTCCTTAGTTTTTCCTCTCCAAAAGTCTCAACTATTCCATTGAGTATCTTCCAAGACCAGAGGAGCCACACATGAACACACCTGCCTGTGGCTCACCAGTCACACCCTCTAAAGAGGCACCAGCCAAGATTCTAAGGGAACACCATTCCAGGTGTCATTCTTCATACCATCCTCTCTGTGCCATCACCTAATGTACTGAAGTTTTGCATACAGCTAGTGGGAATCTGGGACATTTCTGCCTCTCCTACCATCCAGCACATTCTTCACTAAATAGTCTGGCTGCTTTGGGAACAATAATTTTTCCCTCTAAATAGGGCTACTTTTCACAAGAGTTCCACTTCATACATCTCAAGCTGCATCTAGCTATTCCAGCAAGAGTAATGCTGACTTATGGGAGGCCCAGCTAATTAAATCAGAGACAGTTCTGATTTAGGAGACATTTCAAATACATTTATAGAAGAGAAAATTAGACTGGTTTACCCTTTATCATGCTGTTTTCCACTATGCAACACTTTGGTGACTTTTCAGCTTTTATGGCATTAAAAAAGTGTTAAAAGAAATGCAGCAGATAACGCTACCACTACTGCACGTTAAATTAACACAGTATTAAGTGTCGAACCCTTTAGATTTCTTGGTTAGAAAAATACTCAGTACGTGAACCTAAAACCATCCATATGCAAACCCCCAAAGGGGAGAGATACTTTTCACTCTGGTGGAACTTTGAGGAATAAAAGCTAAAAATACCACAGAACCAGAGTAACTTATGAAAGGACATTCAGAAGTCACCTACTCTAACCCCCAGCTCAAAGCAGGGCTAATGAGATCAGACTGCTCCAAGGTCCCATCCAGCTGAGTCCTGAACACCTCCAAGGACACAGATTCCAACACCCTTTCTGGGCAGCTTGTTCCAGCATTTAACCACATCTCAGGAGTCTCTCACATTCCAAACATTGGTGCAACATATCCTAAAAAATGAAATAACACAGTGCAACTAGTCTCAACAAAAAGGGTTAACATACTAGAGGGGGCAGACAGTCATCCTCATTGGGGTCTCTACAGGTACTGTAAGCTGAGAAAATAATGGGTGCTACAATTTTGGAAAATAACAGGCATTACAAATGGATTACCCTGCTCTGGTCTATTCTCAGTTTTACACCTACACAGTCTTGGGACACACCGAGCCCCCTGTGTGGTGCTGAACAGAGGTCCAAGAGGACACACTGGCACAACACACAATTAATGCAATGCCTTCTTGAGCACTTTTGCACCCAAGGGAAGTTCAGCATCACTAAGTTAACTCATGAAGCCTGATCCTTGAGCTTGCAGGCCTGAAGAGCTAAGTACTGGTACACATCCATAGCTACCCACAGATCAGCATGAGGCCAGGCCAGCAAGAGTTTATTGGCTTTGGCTCAGCACAGACCAGCCAGATCCCATCCAGCTTTCCAGGAAAAATACTCAAGTCAGTCTGCACGGTGCCCTGGGCTCCAGAAGAGTCTCTTCACTCAGGCACTCCTTCTCACTACCCACTGGATGCACAGCCGGCAGGAAGGTGCCCACAGTGCTGTCATTAGGATAATGCCTTCCCCTTACAGCCAACCTGTACACAGAGATATGGACAGTGGCTGGCATGGGGTGGAACACACTCATTTTCTCCCTGGGCTTCTACTGCTCAGGAGAAACCTCTACATTTACAAGGGGTATGTCCCAAGAAAGACAATTATTTTAGATTTTTAGTACGTAAACCGTATGTGGGTTTTAACCTATTTTAGGCATGTCAACAGAACACGGCTGCCCATGATCACTTCCAAGAAATGCTTTCTCTTTGCCTCCCTGACATTAAACATGCTCTGTTTTTTCTAAAAAGATAGCTAACGATGTATTCCAGGAGTCTACACTTTTTAGTATTTCATGGCATATCACTGTTTTACTTTGCTGAACTAATGATGACTCTACTCCATAGAAGGCCATTACAAAAATAGAAGTGTCTACATGAAAGAAAGCTTTTCAAAGCTGATTGAACCCACTACATAAATAAATACAAGCAACAAGATAGTAGGAACAGACTCAATAATTAGGTCTCAACAGTAAGTAACCCATAAAATAGGACCTTATAGAACTCGTTAGTCCAAGACATTATTTAAAAATTAATTTATTACTTTCTTTATTTGAAACTAACTTTCCAAGCCAAGTTATGAGGAATCACCAACAGCTATGCACCCTGTTCTATGGTCCCCAGCTCCTTTTTGAACAGCTCTCTGCAAATATATGATCTTTCACACAGAAAACAGCCTACACTAGAAGAACCAAGTATAAGAGAGGAAGATACACAGGAGTCCCCACACTGCTCAGTTAGCACACCTGCCTTACCCTGCTGCTCTAATCTCAAGTCTGCCAATCAACAGCTAGTGTCCGTCTGCCCAAAATACAGTGGGATAAGAAAAGTAAGCAAAAACTTCTAAGAGATATTTGTGCTGCTAAACTGTATATTACCATCTGACTATGATCATTCTTTACCAGGCTAGAAAAATCTACCTTTCATAAGATTCACCAGAAGAGAAAGAAGAGTAGTGTCATCCCACCCACCTGTAATTTCCATCAACAAACATGACAAAATACACACGAGATTCCAAACAAATCTCAGAAGGAGCCTTGTTTATACAAAAAGTTGACTACCTCCTTAAATTTGGCCAGCTAAATATACCAACATAGTCCTGTGTTTCCAGACTAGACATTTAAAACAGATCCGTTTACAACTAAGTATATTAAGTGCAGGAAGTAGATTACTTACTAAGAGAGAACAGTTGTTGAAATTTCACTCCACAAAAACATGTATCTTTTTCTGTGTGTTACAGAATGCTGTCAGCTACTGCTGGCAGAAAGTCTCCTAGTTAATTCTGGATCATTACCACTTCTAATTTCAGTGGCATGCACAGTTCCCATTTGATATACATACACAAAATAATCACACCACCATCTTAATATCTATTTCCTAAAATACCTGAAAAATGCTTGAATGTAAAGATTATTATTTTTAAGTGACAGCTATGATATTATTATTTTACCTAGACACTGAATGGAAAGCAGTAGCCAAAGACTTAACTGGGTTTCACAACAGATACATCCTAATTTAAGGATATTGATTTTTCTATTCCACACCATGACTGACATAGATTGTGACCAGAAGTGAATCACCCATGACAGCCAGTGTAAATTTATACAGTCAAAGGATTCTGAAGGAGATATCTCACTACAGTACTATCAAAACTGACAAATAAGCAAAGCTCCATTCTAGTCATCATGGATGTGACCAGGCTGTACAATAGTATTTCATGCCAGGACGGCACTGAAGCCTGCCTGAAGCTCTTCCATGGAAAGAGAGTCAGCATTCAGCCCAAAGACACTGCCAAAGTTA